AAAAGGGACGTGAAGCAACGCTTGTGTTTCGTCGTGTGAGTGAGGTTACCGGCGGCCCAATTACCCTCCCTTCTCCAATCTCCCCAATCCCTGAATCTCCAACGATCCTCAAACTCCTAATCCTCAAAAGGCCTGTAACACATTTGTAACGCCTCTGGTGTTCGAGGTGTCCATGGGCGACGCTGATTACTTACCATCAGGTGATCCGTCTGCTCGTTTACTGGCTCATGCCATAAAAAAAATTAGGCAATTTTGAAACGTCAAAAATTGAATTGTCCGTCCGTCTGTCTGTCTGTCTGTCTGTCAGTCTGTCTGTCTGTCAGTGAAGCTAGGCGTGTAGTTTCAAATGGAGAAGAACGATCAAAAACTCCATCGTTACTCATTAAAAAAAAAAAGTTTTTTACATTCTCTTTGATACATTATCTGATCCTTTACCTAATGTAAATATGTGAGAACAATGTAACGACATTACAACGTCAACATTTTATTAAATGTCGGAGTCCCATTGGACTCCGGAATCAACTCCTGAAATAAAATAAGAAGCTAAAAAAGCTATGAATGATTGTTTCAAACATGGTGCCCACATAAGTACACTTACAATTATTATCTAATTCTAATTCTAATTTGAAATAATGATACTATACAAATAAAAATTTGTTTGATGAAATCTTTCAAAGGAATCTATTGTCAATATGTAGGTTTCTAAACTAAGGTTCAAAAGTACAAAGTAAAGTACAAAAATAAAAAAGAAACAGTAATAAAAATCAATCAACATTAGGTTCGCACTCACGTTCGATTCTGTTATTGCATTCAACGAATCTAGATCACACAGAAATCTATCAAAACTGTTAATAGCAGATATCTGAAGGTCACACAAATATTATTGCGAGGCAGAAATAGAAAATGTCGATCACTTCTTGGTTATAAATAAGAAGTAATGATGGCGAATGACAAAGTAGGACTTTACATTTTTATAGCAAAAGATTAATGACATTGGAATATCGTATGTCTACTATCATAGACTGCCTCCTTGGCCGAGTGGTCGCAAGTGCGACTGCCGGGCAAGGGGTCTCTGGTTCGATCCCCGGGTCGGGCAAAGTACTATTGGGTTTTTTAAAAAAAAATCTCAGTGGTGTACGGAGTCTAGAATTGTGCCCGGTATATGGCAATAGGTTCACCCCCTATTACATGGGACTCATAACATAAATAGTGAAAAGTGGGTGTTACCTACATTGTACATTACCATTAAGTGCCGTAATGTGTATCTCTGCCTACCCCTTCGGGGATAAAAGGCGTGATAATGTTACTATTTAGGCCAATCCTAATATCCTACTAATATTATAAATGCGAAAGTTTGTAAGGATGTGTGTGTGTGTGTGTTTGTGTGTTTGTTACTCTTTTACGTGAAAACGGCTGACGGGATCGAGATGAAATTTGGAATAGGGGTAGATTATGGTCTGGAATATCACGTAGGCCACTTTTTGCCACGGGAACACGGACGAAACCGCTGGCAGAAGCTAGTTATTACATAGTTTTGAAACATTAATCATAACGTTTCTTTCAATTAGACCGTCGTCCACAAGACAGTTTTGAAGTAAATAAATTATGTGAGTATATAAATGCGTTTGTCTATCATTTAAGTGAAGCTAGAAGACAGTCATGGGCAAGAAAGGACATATTTTTTTAGCTGCACGCTCAACGTGATCATGTTTTAAGTTTGATTCCTGTCTTGTGTAGATATTTCAAAGGTGCTTTTAAAGAACATAATACATTCAAATCAAGTTATAACTAATAAAACCACACGTAATAATCGTACAATTATTTATCGATATCGCCAATAATCAATGATAATAAATAACTTATTCGAGAGAATTATAACCGTGCCGCAGTGTTACCGTGATTTTTCCTTTCCGTTCCGTTCCGGTTTGACCGTATCGTTCCAATCCGGACGTCCGGCTTGCCAGTGACCGGACGTCACTAGCTTATCGGAACAATAATTTTGTATATCATTATTTATGGAGTAACTTTGAATTGTGTGGCGTGTGCTGTGGCAGGTCCGGGAGATATTGTTGGGATTTATCGTGGGAAACTTTTTGATATAAAAAATGTTTTTGCTTTTAAACTAGATATAGTGCTTAAGATACACGGCTTTCTACTTAGATAACACGGCCTCCTAAAAGAACTGTTCCAACATGCTTTATGACAAGAACATCTAAAATTATTCCATTTCATAATAGTTTTAGGTCCACTGATTCATCAACAGCCTATAAATGCCAACTGCTGAGCAAAGCCTCTTCTCACACGGAGAAGGTTTGAGCATTAATCACCACGCTTGCTGAATGCGGGTTGGCGATTACAAACTTATAATTAGAAATTATAAGCCCAGGTTTCCTCGCGATGTTTTCCTTCACCGTTTTTCAGAGGTGATTCTTAGTGATAATCTTAGAAAGTACATATAACTCGGAAAAAGTCACATTGATACTTGCCGTTGGTAGGTTTCGAACCCGTACCCTCATGTATGAGAAGCGGGCGTCTTAAACCAGCGGGCCACCACGACAACAGACAACTGATTAAGATAATTGTAACTTTTTCTTTATAAGTAAACTTGTCTTATTATCTACCTGTTTGACCTCCAGAAACCACAGGAGGTAGATTTGAAATACCTACTACGGTCGCTAAGCTCAATCGCTTAATACGTTTCCTCGTGTTTCCTTGTTCTTACAGTAAGAAACATTAATATAACTTGGAAAATTTCCTTCATCGCTAACAACATAAACTCTATCGCAATGAATTTGAACAAACATGCCATAACCTTCGGACCTGGCTAGGGGCAGGCTTTCGATCTTCAATATAGAGGGTGCGGCTCTCAGCAAACACCTTTATTTACGTCACAACCCTGTATCGATCATTAACATTTAGCTAAGTAAGTGCTATGTACTTATTAAAACTGTTCTCATTTCAGTTAACCTTTACATTATACAAACACACTGTAGAGTTAGTAAATGTGTGTTAATGACCTATTAATATTATACTCGTTTGGCTTAACGTCAAAGTAATGTTGTTACAATTGTCCTTTCATATTTAATCTGTGTGTAACTGTAACAGTGTGTTGCAATATTAATGTAGCTTCTAATCGAAAATGGAAGCGAGTTTTCAAATTTGAAAACGAATGCGATTCGTGTGAACAAAATTCATGAGTTATTTCACAATCGGAAAAATACAGCGTTTTTGAAAGCCCTTAAAACCTTTATTTCATATTTTTTTATTTACTTCTTTTTTAACTTCAAAAGGCTTGTCGATTTACTGCGTCTTAACAATATCGTTACCAGGACAGCATCAACAGTTAGCGGTCTCGACATGTAAACACTACAATCAGCGGCTGTCGATCGCTATTTCTGAACATTTGCATTCCATTAGCTCGGCGTATATTGTGAGATTAACACGGAATTGTGACAGACAAGAAACTGAGCGGTTTTGTTGTAAACTATTGTAAAACTAGATGAAGTTCTGTTTGTTCAAGGTTGGTGCTAGATTTAGCACGGAACTGAAGCTTGGATAGATTGACTGACGGGTTTTTAAACTTTGCTCTGAATACGTAACGGCTAGGAATAATTCCTTTTGTGTATGTATAGAATTATGGCAGCCAAACTAAACTGAAATTGTCTTCAGATATTCTATCCGTGTAATTGTCGTAATTGCAAGAGGTCGTGTCAATTTCACCATAGTCTAGCATATTCCCTTCGTTTCATGGTACCTTAGTAATTGAGGTACCTTTTCGTCCCCTACCCGGGTAATGAACCGACCAAACATTTTTATTATGTTCATAATTTCTGTAGCCGTTTTTAATTAATGTGCCTCCTAACAATTAATTTCTACCCCATTTCGTCCCTACCTACTCCTTATTTCCATGGAAATAGGGTTCTTTATACGTTGAACACGCATAAACATAATTGAGTAACGATACTGACTATTATAATTTGACCTTATTTAAGCTTATGGATATTGTTATTGTGGAAAATTGTTATTAATAATGTCATGTTTTAAATTATAGCTTTGATCAACACTGGAACTTTAACGGCATTTTGTTTTCAAAGAATATTTTATTCAGGAAATGTACTTTTACATGCCATATTTCATTTTAGAGCCATTGAACTAAGAAAACACGTTTCCTACAAAAAGCTAGCTGCAGAATTGTTTTAACAATTGCTCAACTTGAAAGCCATTCTGAATTTGGTTATTAATGTAATTAATATTCCTTATGAAGCCTTCAGTATCCCATTCTACACGTTTCGTACCCGCGCGGCGCAAAAGCCAAAACGTAACTCCGCATTACTGCCTCGAAAATTGCGTAAATCCTTGTTTAGTAAAACTTTGAAATATTATAATGTGGAGCTAAAACGGCCCCTAATGGCGGCTCTAGGGGGTAGGCAGTAAACACGTTTTGTTTTCACAACAGATGTTAGAAACGAGAACACTTCAACAACTTGCTGATTTGTGTTTAGCCGGCGACGCGCGACGCGAACAAATTTCGCTTAGAAAAAAATATTTTCATTTCTATAGTAGAAAATGCTGTTTACTTTTTCATAAAAAGGCTTTAACAAAAAAGACGTTTTTGTGTACTTTACTCATAATGATTTAAAATAACATGAGTTGACGTTTTCTATTTATCAAACTTGAAAGGCTAAACATGGACTATAATTATAATCGTATAGAATTTTAACATAACAAAATAAATGTCACTGAAAATGTGTGGACATTTAGATACCCCACAAATTCAGTTAACTGTTTGACAAAACTGATTTCCTTTGATAATTTAAGTATTTTAGTATCAATAAAACATACGATCTAAGGGATCGTAGTCATACGATTATGTACTTTACTAGGTAGTTAGCTTGTACCTTGTACCTAAAATAAATATGACTCCATATTTACAAATTCTTACTGCATTATTCGTCGCACTAACCTAGTTCCTAAAGTATTTAAACTAAGAATGAACGGAAGCTATAGCTCTTTGGAATAGTACAAACGTACATTAAACAATGTTTTAGTTTATATTATTTGTCGGGAGTGACGCGGAGTGCATGAATTTAGAAGGGATTCCTTTGATCGCAACACTGCTAGTGCGGATGTGAGCTGGTCTCAGTTGCATATTGCACGGTACTATGCTAAAACGTACCTACTGTGTTGTAAACCGTACTCCGGATATATTATAACGGGAAATGTACATAATAATTATAATCGTTGCGAGTAATAGGAAAGAAAGTGTGCAATATTAATAAATGAAGAAGAATTTTGTGTCTAGAACTAAACTAGAATGTTTTGTGTCTAGTTCTTCTACTCTTAATAACTCCTGGTAGCCTAGTACGAGATGTGATAGACAAATCTCTGTATGGAGGTTATGTAAGTATTGAAAAATGAAGAATTATGTTTAGTAATAAAATTAATCACAAAAATCTGACGTTTCAAATAACCAGAATTTTAACATGATTCATACCATACCTTTCATTTTCTTGAGAGGTGAGTAACGATGCACATTATAATTAGGCAACACCCACTTTTCGCTTAGGTACTAGGTAAACATAAACATATTGGGAGTACCTATTTATTTTTTGTTACAATGAACTCAAAACATTATAGCCAGTCCATTACGAGTTGGAACAAACAAATAACTTTTCCCTGTAATCTTTCTTTCCTGTTGATTAACTTCGTTGTCAATTACTGAACGTTATAGAATAGACAGTTCACAATATATTTCCTGTTTTCCATCAATGTCACTTAAAAGAAAACAGACAGATTTTTGTTTGTAGCTTTATCAATGTTTCTTTTCAATCGGTGTTTTAAAGAAGGGTTCTTTCATTTAAAATTCTCGATGATATCCAGTAATTTGGAATGCAAATCTTAGCATGGGTTGGACAAGGACTTTAGAAATTTAGGTGTAGTAGCGGTCCAGAGAGCAATTTGAATTTTATCAGGATTTATGACGTTATACCTGAACCTTCTATGATTATAGAAAACTTCCTTATCCAAAGGATACTCACCATTCAGATAATGATACCTACTTCTCCTTTTTCCATTCACAAAACAGCAGATGTTATAATAATGAAAGAAGATGAAGGACATAAAACTACATAATTTTGTGGCTATGGAACTCATATCCTATTAAAAACATACCTACATAATCAATTTCACTACAAAATTCTTCACAAAGTACACCGTAACAACCTCTTACGAAGTTATAAAGAACTTTACAATGTATAATACAATATTTCACACAATGAGCTGAAACTCCAGTCGTTTAATATTCTTTCAGTAATGCTGCATAAGTTGACTTTGTATAAACTGAAACTAGTATAGTACTTGCAGTAGTTGACTTGCTAAGTTAAAGAGTGCTACAAAGTGGGGAAAAGATGAGATTAATATTATAGCAGAGAATATTTTATTTTATTTAGTTTAAGCATGTAACAGACAGTGACTTTCTAAGATTATTTAGACACCACTGATATAATGGTGAAGGAACACATCGTAAGAAAACGTGGGCTAATAATTTCTAATTATAAAGTTGGAATCGCCAACCCGCATTGAACAACCGCGGTGATTAATGTCACTGTGTCTGAAATCTTTTCCGTGTGAGAAGGGCTTTTTGGTCAGCAACGGCCACTTATGTTGAAGATGTAGATAATGTAACAGTAAAGAAACAATGACACATGTTACCGATTAAAACACAAAGTATCAACTATTTATTTTTATAGAGCAGGTATAAGAGCCTTTTATTATCTATCCTTTAGGCACTCTTCTGAATAACTTACTACTAAAATTTCTAGTTTAAAATCTTTAAAAGTCAGTATTATCTATACATAGAATAAAATTGTAGAAAAGTGCTGTCTGTACATTGAAAATAAAAATAAAAAAAATAGCAGGGGCTATTGTTATGTCGATGTCGAACCCAAAAATGTAACTAACTTTTTTTTTGTCTGTTTGTCTGTTTGTCTGTTCACGCTAATCTCAGAAACGGCTTATCTGATTTGGATGCGGTTTTCACGAATATATTGTGGTATGCTTCAGTTATGCTTTAGTGTTTGTTTCATGTCAATCGGTTCATAAATAAAAAAGTTACGTCAAATAATGAATCACGTCGAACACTATCTATCTATCTATACATATAATAAAATTGTAGAAAAGTGCTGTCTGTACATTGAAAATAAAAATAAAAAAAATAGCAGGGGCTATTGTTATGTCGATGTCGAACCCAAAAATGTAACTAACTTTTTTTTTGTCTGTTTGTCTGTTTGTCTGTTCACGCTAATCTCAGAAATGGCTTATAAATATATATATATTTAACAGGGCGCGGAAAAGGTGATAGTAGTTTTATTCATCAGATTCCTCTAATTCCAAAAAATTTTCCTAATTTGCTTTCACCCCCGAAGGCCATACGTCTAATATTGTATATAGAGAAGCATTACAGTAAAGTAGGTTTTTTAGCTACCCAAAATGACTGTGATTATGATCCAAATCTAAAATAAAAATAAGTATATATTTAAAAAAAAAAAACGCTGCTCATAGTCACTATTCTACGCGAACGAAGTCGCGGGCACAGCTAGTGTATAATATAGAATAGTAATGGACTGCATGGTTGGCCGGCCCGGCTACAACAAACGCGGCGATGATGTGAATCTGTCCGGACCGAAAAATTCTTTCGTGATCCATAAACCCCCAAATTGAAGCCAAGAAGATACCTGTGTCCTATCTCACCCACCTTTATTATAGACCTTATTTCCAACGTTTAAAGATTACTTTTGTATATAAACGATTGGAGATGGGTTGATATTCTACTTTACTATCAATCATCCTCATCATCAAAGCAAACCGCTTTGCACAATGAATTGATTGTAGTGTGTAAAGCATGTTGATAGAGACCGCCATCATTACAGTTCAGCTTATTATATTCATTGACGTATCATAGCCATACTATATGATAATAGCTTATCACAGATACTGTCGGGATCTCCCTGTGGAGTATTTTGTAGCGGCATACTTCAAAGGATTGGTTCATAGTTCTTTTTAGGATCAGGAAAAAATGCTTTGTTTAGTATTGTAGACTTTGTATATTGATTCCGTATATACGGTGTATGGAAAGATTGAAGACTGTTTTATTTTTCCTATATTTATCGCCTATATTATGTCTATAACAGATCTTATCTATTTTCAAACTGAAATTGTATTAAGATTCGGTTTAACCACTTACGTGTCTCAGTGCAAAAAAATCTCTTTCGTATTTGTAAAACCCATTCATTAGGTTAGGATTTAGGATTAGAGGTATTTCACAGTAGTTATAATTATAATTGTATAATATTAAAATTCATATTATGAGTTTGTAACACACATAATAAAACAGGTACTCGATTGTAAGTTCAATTTGGACGTTTGAACCTAACAGTGAGAACATATGGGATAAGAAAGTAACTGTATGTGATTAGAGACTTTTATTTTAGTTTCCTGGACACGTGTAAACCATAAATAAAACATTTTTGAAATTCAACCTTCAACCAAACACAGTCTTCAAAAAAATATATAATGTAATTTTCATTATTATTCCAACTTTTTCAACACACACTAAATTCTATTTCATACTTGACGTGTTAACATCTCCAGATTTGTTCCAAGCAACTAACTCCTTGGTAATCTCTACCAGCCTAGTACAACTTGGCAGCTCGGCTTGGCACCGAGCGAAGGGTAGCTCGGGGTAGTTGAATTATTATGTACCTACTAACTGATGTAGGCTAAATTCACATTTTCAAAATTATTTGTTTTCTTATTGTGGTCGACTAGTTCATTGTTTATTTTTTTTATTTTTACTAGTTTATTCTTTATTTATTATTTTTATAGTGTCCTCTGAGCTATGGCCTGCGCAGTAAGCATACCATGAATGCACACAATGAGCTAGCAATATGAACAGTATTTTAAGGCTAAAACAAAAATTACCGTTTTTGACACAGCACCTCCCTTCCCGTCTACAATAAGTTTACTATCATTGAGATTTATAAAGATAAGTTACCTAACCAACTGACGAAAACTGCTATTATCTGGCTCACTATATCACAATAATGTTAGTCATTTGTTCCCATAACAGATTAGTATGCTACCGGCGTATTGAGGATAGACCCCGTCACTATCCCATAATATTCGGGGTTATCACCGTTTTACATAATCCGTAGATTCTGGAGATACATGTTACATGTGTTATTCAATAATAATGGGTTAAAGGACAGCCGTTTCAGTTTTGGTTTATTCAAGTCTATAAAGGGGCTATTTTATTATAGGCTTCAGAAGCAATGTTGATGTTGCCTGTAGAGTTTTTATTTCAATACCGTAATATTCGTTCTAAGTCAGGTAAGACTTCTTCTTCTTCGTGCTAAGTTGCTAGGTCTTTGTAATACAAGACTCCAGGGATGTTAAAAAAATTGCAAAATATTATTTTATCACGCCTGACGTGTACGAAAGCTTATTTCATATCACTCAGCTGTATCGTTCGTTAGACTGTCTGTCCCGAATGCCCTCAGTTCATTCCCATCTGTCCAATATTTTTGACTTACACATACGTTTATGTGAACTTTTTTTACATTTGATGGGTCGACGTTTGACTACTATCTCGCCTGGTGATAAGCGATGATGCGGTCTACGATGGAGCACGTCATCCCATAAGCAACCTATTCACTCAGGCCTTGAACACTCTGGCAAAGAAGCGCTGCGTGCGTGTGGGTGGAACTTCTACAATGAATCGATGACTTTTCGCCGATTATCTTGTGGTACGATGAAGGAAAGGACTAGGGTGAATCAACTTTAAAACATCTCATAATTGTTCATGTTTAGAAGACACCTTATTCTATTCTTTAAGCTATTAAATAACAAAAAATAATGTCTTTGATTATTAGTAATTAGATCATAATCATCCTTGCAAAGAATAAAAGGTTGACGTGATGGTCTTAAGTTTTTTAATATTGAAAAGATCCCTTTTTATTTTCTTCCTATCATAAATTCCATCAAACCAGCTTAATTTTCGTCACATCGCCGTCGCTTGTTGTGTATCGATAAAACAAGCCGCGACAAGTATTGTTATCGAAAGCTTTATCTGAGCCACACTTTCTGTTCGAGTGTGCTATAAAATAATAATGGATATAACTTTGAGGACCTGTGTTTACTCTGTAGTACGTACATTATACACAAACCGACATAACGTTTCATTTTATTGGCTGTTAATGTTTTTTTAATGAAAGGGTTTGACGATATTATTACATTTTTTCACTTGTACATTGTTCACTAATTCATTTTACTTCAACCCTTCTTCTATTTGTAAACTACAAGAATAATTTTTCCAACCCTGAAGAAAGTATGAAAATCCTCTT